GTATCCATTCTTACCAATCACTTTGGCTTTTCCTTCTGCAAATTCCACTTTTAAGCCTCTTTCTTCAATTCTGCCCCAATGGATAATAGATTTCCTCCTAGTTCTGGAACATATAGGACATTTTCAATAGTGATGTTTTTTCTCTCCATCTTCTCCAACAGAAAATGAAATATCTTCAATTCTAGTGACCTTTATTCTTTCTGAATTAGCAACTTCAACTTCAAATGCTTCACTGTCTAAAATCCACAGATTACTTTTCCTTGATTTTTCTTCGTTTGCCAGAAGTGCAGTGTTTGTTTTGAGGTCAATTGCAGTTTTGGTTCTGATATTTGGCCTCTTCGCACTTTTTAGAGATATGCCCCCACTGGCCACAGCTGTAGCGTTTAGTATTTCTTCCTCTGTTAGTTTCTTCTTCATTTGTCCTTTTAGCGGCATACTTCTTCATGGGTTTTTCAAATGCAGGCTTCTTCTGATTGGTGGCAAAACATTTAGTGTGAACAGCTTATTCTTCATGATACACTTTGGCTGAACTTTCATTTCTAACTATACGTTTCTCTTCTACGAGTAGCCTTGGTTTCACAATAATAGTTGTTAGATTTGCTTCATCTTTTTCCAAACTTAGGATGAGCGATACAAAACTTCTAGGCAGTCCCAATAGTTTAACTAGTACCACTTCTCTATCTGTGAAGGCATATCCACCATTAGCTAATTTTCTGTGTAAGTCCATTAATCTTGCTAAATAGGATTGGACAGATTCATTTGGCTTTATATTTATGTTAAAAAATTCTCTTATAAGTTGCAATATGTGAAGCAAACCGAATTTTGTATGAATTTCTTTTAAACTGTTCCAGTCATCTCTGGCTCTAACACAATCTCCGATATCATCTGGAAATGTATCTTAACTATGAGGAATAATAGGGTAAGAGCTTCGTTATTCTTTTTCCTCTCCGCTTCATTCATTTCAATTCCATATCCGGGTTCCACTGCTTCCCAACATCTCTTCTGCACCAGCACGGCACACGGACGGATACACCATGTGTGGTAATTATCGCCGTTTAGTTTTAGCATTTTATAATCTTTAGATGTCATTCTTCAAGTAAATATATCAAGCTAAATTCACCATAAAAAATGTTTATTTACTTTGTCAAAGGATGGTTATCCAGCTCTTTTCAGGTTCACAATGTGGTTAGGCTTCGGCGGTCAGCGCTGTTAGGCTTCGGTGCAATCTTCAATCCTGGATCGTAATGGCATTTCCTTTTGAGTTTCCTGCTGATAAACGTGTTAAAATTTAAGTTATTCGTGAGTAAATAAATGACATAGTCCAGGTTGAACAATCAAGTATATATTGAGAATATTTAAGTTACATGGAGGAAACAAGCAATGCACACCAGATAGGGATGAAAAAACAACACCACCGCTGTTTTCAACTAACATAATGTAAGTATTGGATTGGCACATATATATTATTTTTTTAACACAGATAAGTGCTTTATTTCTGTCGCGTTTATAATATGAGACCTACTAATCGCACTTTAACAGCCTTTCTAAACTTATCTTAAGGCTTTTGACAGAGTGTTGAATCAAACACTAATTATGAAACTGTTTGATATTTTTGGATTTTGCCTAAAGGCCCTGAACTGGATATATAACTTTTTAAGAAACAGACTTACAAGAGTGAAGTTTAGCAATTTCCATTCAAGGAGCTTTTGACTGTACCAAGGGGTCGTGTAGAAGTCTGCCTTGAGACCTACTCTGTTTTTGCTCTTTCTATCAAGTATCAAGCATTTCATTCCTGGGAGGTGTAAAGTAGGCTAATTTGCAGATGATATTGTTCTTTTGGACTCTGGCACTGATTTGAAGGAATTAGAGAGTGATATTAATATTGCCCTTTGATGACATTGGAATTTTGCTGGAAAACCACAAATTAAGTTTTAATTCTACTAAGTCTAGAGTTGGGTGCTTTACTACCAATAGAAAATTATATGGGTTTCAGCCTAATATCCTATTAAACCATCAGCCTCTCACGATAGATAAATACCTTAATAAAACCTGGGTTTTGTTTTGGATCCTGAGATATTGAGCAATAAACACCTTGTGTTGAGAGCAAAGAGATGCCTCAACATACTAAAGTGTACTTCAGGATGAGAATGGTGAGCTGATGCTAGTACTCTTAGAAACAGCTATATTTCTCTTATTCGGCCTATTTTGGAGTTTGGATATCTGATTTATTGTTGTGCTTCTGATACAAATCTGCAGTGAGCGAGGTCAGCTTAGTGTTGCTCGAATTATTATTGATCTACAGAATTCTTGCTCTACTTGTTGTCACTACATTGTGCTTTATGAAGCAGATGTGCAATCACTGGGTCTTACGAGAAGTACATATTGTGTTAAATACTACAACAAAATAAGTAATGTAGGTTCTCAGGATTGAACTTCTGATTTCCTTGAGATTTGGCTCAGCAATCAAAGGCGTAAGAGAAACATTCCATTTAGTAACTTAAACCCTTGTAATCTAATTGCTAGAACTGTGGAACAGCATCACCTAACACAGTGTATTGATTCTTCAGAGGGTCTCTCTGAAGTCTCTTTTCCGTATTAACCTATCTGTTCATGTAAACAAGCAAAAATATCTTTCTGATTATTTAAGGCAACTGGCTCTCAAAATAATTGATTATATTCTCATGGACACTGTTTAAGTGTTTACGTAGGGTAGTAAGAATGATAATGATAGGACTGGCAATGGAATTAACATAAAATCAAGAGAATGTTTCAGATGAGAAATTCCAAATACTGTTATGTCTTTCGTAGTAGGCTAATTGACATAAATGAAGGCCTTGATTCCCTTGTGTCACTCACTGATGGAAAAGAAATTTGTATCTTTTCTGATAGCAGAAGTTCTATTCAACACTTGGCCTGTTGGCATAGTGTAAGAGATAATATAGGAGTGAATATTCTTAAAAAACTGAAGCACCTTTCCATGTCTTGTCAGATTCACCTACGGTGGATTCTTTCCCATGTTGACATCTTGAGCAAAGAGATTGCAGTAACCCTGGCTAAGGCCAGGCTAGAGATGGCCTCGTGCCTTCTACATCTCTCACCTATATGGAGGTTTATTCCATCATTAGGTGCAAGAATAACTAGAGCATTGCGCAGCAGCACCACAGGTCCGGGATTCGAACCCCGGGCCGGGCAAGTTTGACTCAGCCTTTCATCATTTGAGTCGATAAAATGAGTACCAAGTTCGCTTGGGGACTAAACACTGGAGGTTCTGCGACAGGCTGACCACTTGTTCAGGGCATATGCTTACGCACCCTGGGGCCCACGGTCAAGAAAGCAGATTTCGGGGCACTGCAGGCCTTGGCCCATTAGGGCTGTTTGCTCCACTGAGTTTAATTTTTAGATGGAAGAATAAAATCACTTGGCTTGTTCCACTGATGCATCTCTGATATCAGAGTAATCATCTGGGTGGCCCTCTGGCGCTTGATTGCAACAGGCAGGATCAAACCGCTCTCACCCGTTTGCTTAATGGGCATCTTGGATCTCTGACATTTTTTAGGGTTTCAGGTGTTTTGAAGTCTGCACTAAGTGTTCTTCTGAGCAGATTGTCATGAACCTGATTTAGCCCTGCTAGTCTTTATGGATGAGCAACTACAACAGACTGTATGTGTCAAGTATTCAAAAATTGTTTCATTTAAAAATTCATCAAGTAGTGTTTGAAGTAAAATATATTATAGAACAAGTGCAGTGAAAGTGAGAGCTATTCATTTTCAAACATAAAATTTTATAGTTTAAAAAAATGCTGTGCTTCATTAAATCATTTTTTTCTTTCATTTCACACATTTACATATTTTGTAATAAACTTTTATCTTGTTTATTTTCATCCTTTTTATCCAGTTCTCAAACATGGATATTTTAAGCCAAGTATTTTGAAAGTTGGTGTTGAATTTTTTTCATGTTACTCAGTATTCACACTTTGGTGCTTAGAAGCTATATTCTAACTTAAACTCCAGATTCCTACTCTAAGATCACCAAAATATTAAACAAAGCAATCAATGAAACATGAAAAACACCTGTGACTAGTGTTGAAAATTGAGTGCACATGTGCTCATGGGCTATGATCACAGACTGTAGTTGGAAATAATAGTCTAAATAAATTATTGCTTTTTATTATACGTTTAATAGATACTTTTACATTAACATGTATGTAATTTTAAATATATTAAAAATTTTTAAGGTAGCGAAAACTTGCACTGGGAAATAATAAATTAGCAGAAAATTCACAAAATCATGTAGACAAATTTTAATAACACAGGTTTGTCAAAAGTTAAATTTTAATAACACAGGTTTGTCAAAAGTAACAAATTTGTGAAAAATAACATGATCTGGCAGTATTATTCCTGATCATTTTGTATCAGATTGCATCACATGGAGAAATATCGCATTAAAAAATCTAGTGCTTTGAACTAAACAGAGTGGACAGACGATACGATGCCCAGTTGTAATAAATATGTCCTTATATATTTGTTCCTTATCCTAAATTATTGTATTCAGTTCATTCTCTCCAAGAACAACTTTACTAGCATCAGTAATATGCATTATTGTACATCATCCTCTATATTTTCCTCCACCTTTTTTATTTAGAGTTTGTTTCAATTTTCCTGCTTCACCTAACAAGTTGAAAATTAAGTACCTGAATAGTACTGAATTTGTGTTTTAGGAAATATATAACTTATAAAATTTAACTCAATATCAAACTAATGGAAAAAGATTTATCATTATAAATTGTATTTATTATTCAACAGAAATTATTTTTCTATCCATTCATATGAATTATTCTTTTATATTTCTTTCAAGTATGATAATCCAGCAGTTTTCCTTTTTATCATCTGTTTTTTCAAATGAATGTCCTTAAATAAAGGATTGTGCTAATAAGTAAATGGCATTGTGATATTTTATTTTTCCAGTGTGAATTTGTAATTTATGCTCGTAACTGATTTTAGGTATGTTCAATACTTGAAGCTGAAGATGGGAAGCTTCCCCCTATAGCATTTTCTGTGATGATAATACACTTTTTGCAGCAGCTTGAAAAGCCACTTTTACCAATAATAGATATTTTTATGGAAAGCTGGGTGAGTATTCCTGTTAATTTGTTTAATATAATATAGACCATTTCTCAAAAAATGAAATACGTGCTGATTTGAATGAAGTAAGATACAACAAATTTTTTAGATTTACTCCTGTTTATGATTTCAAAGTATAAACATCTTTCTTTAGAAAGACATATTCATGGAACCTTTTGTAGATTTTCAGTAAAACTATTCCTGTAATTTTTCTGCTTTTAAGTTCATTGTTATTCAGCAAATTAATCTGCTTTTAAGTTCATTGTTATAAACTTCTATTTTTGCTAATATTAAAATATATAATAATAAACAATAGTTATTCATATTTGTTAAACCCCAAAAAACTAATCATTTTGCAATTCTTTTTAAATGAACCCCATTCCTTTTATTCAAAATTAATTATGTAGTTTAGAATGTAAGCAGTTGTTTGACATATATTCATATACAAAAAATGTATGCTTTAAAATGTGTGTCCTGAAAATGATCTTTAAATATCTATATTTACTGATGAAGGGTGTCAATCAACTAAGCACTGTATTGAAAGTATAACTGTATAACTAGCAAAATTAGAAGCATCAGTGATTTTAGTAAATTAATAAAAAAGAATTTTAATATCTCACCTCAAGTTAATTTATACTATTACAGCTTTTTTTTAAAAAAAAAAAGATCGGAAAAGTTGTTTCCATGTGACTCTTATTTGAGTTCTGTTGTAAAAATGGAGCCTTTTGATACAAATGCATGTTATTTCTTTTATGTGATTTAAATAAAAATAAGTTTAAAATAGTGAATTTGGGCTTTATTTCAAATGTATTCAAATATAATATTATTGTTAAAAATGATGGATACCAAAAAAAAAAAAAAAAAAAAAAAAAAAAAAAATATTGCATTTTCTTTTTTTTTATTGAAACTTAATATGTCTATGTCCCAAAAGAGAAAATGTATATCTGAAATTACTCTAGACAAGAGGTCCTGCAGTATTTTAAAAGAGAGTAGTGATGTAAATAGCAGAAACATTATTATTTAAAAAAAATAATAATCTGATGTGGACACCACAAATTTCTTGTATGGCCTATTAAATAATGCACATTTTTTGCTGTATTTCATTTAAACTTATTTCCTCGAATTTAATTAGAGATATATTTTTCATTCAGTTCTCACTTTGTGGCAAGGGAAAAATACATAAAAACTCAAAACATCTTCATTGAAAATTGTAAAATACAGAAAAAAAAAAAAAAAAAAAAAAAAAAAAAAATGTTTAAAACACCAAATACAGTTAAGAACAGTTAAAAAAATTTTTTAACAATTAAAATTAGAATCTCTGTGCCAAAACGAGCAATTTAGCTATTGGGACAAAATTTTCAGTGCACAAAAATGAAAATTAACTTTTGGCTGCAGTGGGCAAAGAGGCACTGAAATTGGTCCACCACTTGACTTAATTCACTCTTCTACTATGAATTTCAAATGTAAACAAATAGCAGCCTCGTTAGGCTTAGCACCATGTAAACTTTTAAATTGTAAATAATTCTACAACTGTCGCATGAAAATTAACTAAAGGCATAACAACCTTAAGCAGAGTATAAGAACAACATAATTCAATCACTTTTAAAGCAAAAAATGCACAATTTACCAACATATAAGAATAAAAAAATTGAGCTCATGGAACCGGGTAACAAGAGAGGGAGTTTAGTGCGGCCAATTGTAATAAAAAAAAAAAAAAAAATGGTGCACTACTGCATTTTATAGAAGTCCCACATCCAAAATTTCAGTGTTCTACAGCTACTCATGTTTGAGTTATGTGAGATACGTCCATGAAACGTACGTCACATACATACATGTACACGTACGTACATGAAACTTTTGAAACATACGTATTGAGAAAATTTCTTCTGAATCCGGTTTTCAATTTCTTTTTAAAAAAGTGTCCTTAATTCTATCTGTACAAATCTCATGCAAAAACATCATTCAGATGGATTTTAGAGTGGTCAAAATGGATATTTTCATTGAAATATGAGATCGAAAATTTTTTTGCAATTGCAGTACTTCCTATACTTCATACAAGGAAGTAAAACTGTGTGAAAGATGGCAGACCTGACCATTATTATGTGTTATTTCTAATAAATATATATATTTTTCCTTTGAAGTATGGTAATTCACCATCTGGAAAATATAATCTGTGTTTTGAATTTTAAGTTGTATTCCTTTTTATACTTAAAGATTCATCCAGGGCCAGTGCCAGAGCCAGTAAGACTGCGCTGGAGGGCAGAATTAGGAGTGGTAAAATTTTTAGAATTTAGGCAAACACCAAACAGTACAATTTACTTATGGGAAAATTTTTAGAGTACTAGGCACCGGAATTTAGGATGACAAAGCTTTTAGAATCTAAGGAGGAACAGGGCAGCATAATTTCATACTTGCAGAGATTCCACTGGGTGGCAAAATACCTAGCACCAGCCCTGGATTCATCATAACAGTATATTTTACAATTATTATCAAATGAATTAGGTAAGTAGTCAATTATTAAGTATAAGAATTGCATCTTAAATGTTTTATGCTTATGTGATTTGTAATGTATGACTTTTTTTACAGGGGCTCAAAAATCACCAAAAATTAAATACTTCTACATTAGGTGAGTTATGGTTAGAATTTTTAAATTATTACCAAACTTTTAATTGGGAAGACCATGTTGTATCTGTTCTTCAGAAACATCCTGTTCTGAAAAGCTCAAAATCTTGGAATACATGGATTGCTGTTGAAGGTAATTATAAGTTTCAATATAAAGATTGTAATATTTTACTTGTATGATTTTTTACTCGCTGTTATTGTTTAATATATTAGTGTATGGATGTTAAAATTTTTGTAGCATAATAGTCATGGTTTTGTTAAAAATCATTTAGTTGTTCTATATGCAATAGCAAAAGTAGATATAAAAGTAAAGTTTCTTGTAGTTTTTTTAGTCATGGTTGTCTTAATTTTGTAGGATAATAAAAACATTATCTATTTTTTTGCCAATTTTTATTTATTTACTTATTTTTAAGCACAAAGATTTTACTTTTGTATAAAATTTATCTCAAACCCGAGAGCAATTGGAGATGTGTTTACATAAAGAAATTATGTAAACACACAAAAATTAATTTTTCTCTGTTACTTCTTTGTATTATATCAAGGATCTGCTAGAATTTTTCTTTGTAGGATGAGTTGCTAAGCAGTTTTCTGTAATACGATATATGCATCAACTTGATACTTCCAGCATTAAAACATGTTTTCATAATCAGCTCTTTTTAGCTGTCCTAAAGTTTTGCTAAACATAAGAAATATATGCACAACGAATTGATAATAGCTTGATAAAATTTATTATACCAAAAGAAACACTTCACAATTCTGGAACTTTCCATAAAAATACTTGTACATCTCTTCACAGTATCTCAGAGTAATTACACTTAAAGCTACTAAGAATGTTAAACACAATACAATGCGAAGCTAATCTAAAAAGTGAAGCTAACATGGATATCTCAATCCTCCGAATTCAACTCTGAATGGACAACTACTGAGAGCAGATGCTCTCTCCAGTTTATATAGTTTCCACCCCACCACTGAGAAATCTCTGGTAAATTCTGTTTCTAGAAATTACTAGAACCCATATACAGCTAAAGTTCTAAGATCCAGGTACAGTTACAGTTGCATAGATAGATTATCATATATACCTACGTATAAGTCGAAAATTTTAAGAAAAAAAAATCAGACTTTGAAGTAGGGGTTGACTTATACGCGGAACCTTAAAAAAATTATCTGCCGGCAATCGATGACACAGCGAACTTGATTATTAAATATATCGTTCATACAGAAAAAACACAAAATTTTTATTTATTCTTTCTATTTTATTTTATTAGTTTTTTTCATTAAATTTGTTTCGATTTTATTTTCTGTTTATTAGAAAAGTCCCACCTCCCATTTCATTTCATTATCTGGCATCACAGAGCAATTCAGTTTGTACATTATCTGTGAGGTGCTCTTTGATTATTATAACTATAATGAATCGGTAACTGTTACCATACCGAATGTCTGTCTATTTATCTTGATCGTACACGTGCTTTTTTACATTTCCTGCTTTTTATAATGTCTGGTTTAGTGGAATCTACAAAAAAAAAAAAAAAAAAAAAAAAAAGGGCAATGAGTTCTGTGAAACAAAAAAGAATGTCTTACGTTGTGAAATTCAAGCTGAAAGTAGCTTCATTTGTGAAAAGTACGAACAACTAAAGTGTGGTTTTATCAAGTACATCGGCATGCTGTTTTATCAGTGGGGGTGGCGTTGCTCATACGACAAATTTGTTTTTCCAAAAATGTTTCTCATAAGTCAGGGGATCGACTTATACATGAGTATATACGGTAATTACAGTTATTCAGGAATACAAGAGTCTAGCCCCACAGATGCTAGTTTCCTCCCGGTTCCTCCCTGAACATTTGCACTGTTTACTGCGCAGGTCGTCATTTCCCTGAAGGCGCGCAAGCGTGCCTTATTACTATGTTATTCATTCTGCTTTTTGCACTGCTCTAATTGTGTGTGATTGCTGAAACAGTTCTCTTTTATATTTTACTTTGATTATCATGTCTTCTGCACAAAATCAAGAAAAACAGCCCTTTTCAGGGCCAAATACTTCTGTTTACTCAGAAGGAATTTTGTTTCCTCAGGTGTGCGATAATTCCAATTATTCTGATTCTATTGTGAGTGGTATGCATGATTGTGCAAATGATATTAGTGTGGCTGAGAGAAGTATTTTACAGCCAAATACTTCTGTTTCCTCAGAAGGAATTTTTGATTTTGAATGGAATCAAAATCTGGAAAGAGTAATCGTGTAGGAGAATTCCAATTTTAGTAATGTGATAATTCTGAGTTTGTTGTGACTAATATGGTTGGGTGTGAAAATGATTATAGTGTGGCTGAGAATGATTTTGTTTGCCCTGATTGTTTAAAAACTTTCAAATATAAATACAATTTGAAACGCCATGTATATAAATTTCATCATAGTTATATTACTACATTAATTGAATCTTTAAAAAATCAAAGTTCTGTTGTGTGTCATGGGGAAAGTTCTAGTAGTATGGTTGATTGTGCAAATGATTTTAGTGTGGCCCTGATTGCTTGAGAGTAATTTTGTATGCAATTGCCTTGAAAACTTTCAAAAATAAATACAATTTGAAAACGCCATGCAAATAAACATTTTGACGCCATGCAAATAAATTACACTCTAATAATACTAGATTAATTGATTCTTTAAAAAGTGATCGATCACTAAGCTATAAATGTGAGGACTGCCATCTGAAATTTAGTGACCTAAAAAGTTTGAAATATCATCAAAATAAAATTCATAGTTTGAAAGTCAATCAAACAGGTAATTATGTGTGTCCTCTATGTTTATGTTATGCTAATTTTGAAAAGCGAGAAATAATATTTCATTTCAAGAATGTTCATGATGTTGATATGAATCATACTGAGATAGAATTTAATTCATTTAATGATTTTTTGGCATGGAAGGCAGAAATTGAAAATAATACGAAGTCAAAATTTGTTTCTTATGGTAGTAAGCATAGTAATATACATGGTGTAAAATATTATAATTTCAGATGCCACCATTCAGGAAATTTTATATCAGAAAGTAAAGGTCTGTCACTTAAAAATCCTTGGTAGCAATAAAATAAATGCATATTGCCCAGCTGCATTAAAAGTAACAGAACATACAGATGGCAAATGTGTAGTGTCATATCAGAAAATACATATTGGGCATCAGAATGATTTAGGCCACTTATTTTTAACAACAGATGAAAGAAAAAATATTGCATCAAAGATAGTGGCAAAAATTCCTCTGCATAATATTTTAGATAAAATTAGAAATTCTATATCAGATACTGGGCTTGAAAAGGTTCATTTACTTACGAAAAAAGATTTACATAACATTAAAAAATCTTTAAATTTGTCTTCTAATTCTGTGAAACATGAAAATGATTGGGTTAGTGTAGATATGTGGATATGTGAGAAATGAAAAATTCTGAAAATCCATGCATTTTATTTTATAAAACCCAGGGATCGACATGTGCACAATATTCATTCCTAAGAAAATGATTTTGTTTTAATAATTATGACAGAAGCACAAGGAGAGATACTGAAAAAATTTTGTTCTGACTGTATTGATGCTACACATGGGGTGAATGGATATGGATTTGAACTCATGACTTTACTTACAATAGATGATTTGCACCAAGGATTCCCATGTGCTTTTTTAATTTCTAATCGATGTGACCAACCTGTGCTATCAATTGTTTTTCATGTATTAAAGAAAAAGTTGGATAAATACAACCACAAATATTTATGTTTGATATGGCTGAATCTTTTTTTAATGCTTGGAAGGCTGAAATAGGTTTAGCACAGAAACGTCTCTTTTGTGCATGGCATATTGATAGAGCCTGGAGAAAAAATTTTAAAAAAATCAATGGTGCTGAAAAACAGGCAAAAACATATAAAATTATTAGATCTATTATTAGATCTAGAAGAACAAGACATTCATATCTTTCATGTACTGACAGAAGCAGCAATAAAATTACTTAAATCCTGACACTATTGAATTTGCAAAATACTTTGAAACACATTATTTACAAAATACATCCAGCTGGGCATACTGTTACAGACTTCACAGTGGTATTAACACAAACATGCACATCGAACGAATGCACCAAACATTAAAATATATCTATTTTCATGGGGAAAATGTTAAGAGATTGGATAAGACCATACATGGCATTATGAGATTTATAAGAAATAAAATGATCGATCGCTTAATTACAGGAAACAAAGATAAACTGACAAGCAAGATACAAGATTTAAGAATCAGACATAAAACAAGTGAAACACTATCTTTACAAGTAATACAAAATGAGAATGGGTGGTTTGTGTCATCTATACAGAATACAGAAATGTACACTATACAGGAAAATAACAAAACGTGTACATGTCATATACAGTGCACTGAGTGCAATATATGCATTCTCTGATATATATGCAGCTGTATTGATTCTTCAATTAGGTGGAATATGTGCAAACATATACATTACTTACATCAGCACACTACAAGTACTGCTACTTATACAGCTACCACAACACATAATGAATCTCCACTTCTTATAGATGACAAAAAGGAATTAATTTTGAATGAACTAGCAAAAACAAAGTCACAGACCCTCTCACTGGAACATAGAAAGAATGAACTAAAACAAATGTGCTTAGAATTAGTAGATTCAATAAAATCTGACAAACAATGTGATGTGTTAAGCAGGATTCTAAAATCAGCCCCTCCACAACTAGAAGCTGTTAATATGTTAAATGTGCGAGAAATACATTTCCCAAAGTATATTTTCACAGTAATTTTTGAATACTAATTTAATAATAGCCTCACATTTTGTTCTGGCACATGAAAATTTAGGATTGTGAGAGTTTTTCAATAATTTCCTTGTATAATCCATACTACAAAAACTTTGATTATGAATTATTGTATGAAATGAAAATGTTCCCTCCGTTACAGCTGTTTTTCCTCTTCGGAGTAATTAGAAGTTTAAAAAAAAATTACTTTACTACTAGAAGCTGATGCATCTAATGATTGCTTATGTTTGTTGGTGTTTAAGTGCTTAGTTAGGGCTGCTTTGCCTCCAACTGCAATACAAAATTCTCTGCAAATATTGCAGAAAACAATGTTGTCCTTTCTTTGACAC